TCTCCACCTCCTGGGCTCAAACGACCCTCCCACCTCGGCCTCCCAAAGTGCTGGGATTACAGGTGTGCACCACCAAGCCCTGCCCTGTTACTATTTTGAATTTACTTCCCTGTTTCCTACATTTATATTTTGGTAAAAAACAAAAACTAACACATTAAAATTGAGTTAGAGGAGTGTTCTAACTCAACACTAACTGTTGGAAATAGAACTCAGGCCAGTTCCTTTGCATTCATGGTGGAGACGCGCGTTTTCTCCTTCTCCCTCTTGGAAGTTAATTTCTGTTTACTATTTGGCGTACTTGACTAAAGTGAGCTATGATTACCATATATTAACATATATTTCAGTAGAGAGAACATTCTTGGAAATTAACCTGGAGCAAGTTCCGGGTGGCCGTTTCCTGTTTTCTTACTCCACAAAACATCGTAAAGCCACTGGGTGCGGTGGCTCTCGCCTGTAACCCCAGCACTTTCGGAGGCCTAGGCGAGAGGATCACTTAAGGCCAGGAGTTCAAGACCAGCCTGAGCAACATAGTGAGACCCCACCGTCTCTATCAAATAAAAATTGAAAAGTGCGCCTGGCCTGGTGGCACAGACCTCGCTACTTCCGAGGCTAAAGTGGGAGAATCACTTGAGCCTGGGAGATCCAGGCTGCAGTGAACCATGATTCTGCCTCTGCACTCCAGCCTGGGTAACAAAGCAAGACCTCATCTCAGAAATAAAAGGCCAGATGCAGTGGCTCACGCCTGTAATCCCAGCACTTGGAGGCCGAGGTAAGTGGATCACCTGAGATCAGGAGTTCGAGACCAGCCTGGCCAACACGGTGAAACCCTGTCTCTACTAAAAATACAAAAATTAGCCAGGCGTGGTGATGACAGCCTGTAAATCCCAGCTACTTGGGAGGCTAAGGCAGGAGAATTGCTTGAACCCGGGAGTCAGAGGTTGCAGTCAGCCGAAATGGCACCACTGCACTCTAGCCTGGGCAACAAGAGTGAAACTTCGTCTCAAAAAATAATAAAAAAAAATAGCAAATGTTTATTGAGCATCCACTAAGTGCAAAATCCAAAGGATTCCAAGGCCCATTGCTAGGCACTGGGGATGGTGGTGGACAAAACACAGTCCTTGCCTTCAGGGGGCTCCAGGTCTGAGCAGGAACAGGGTCGGGGAGAGCAGTACAGCATGCTGTGTGGGCACTTGACCCAGGCCTCTGCAAGGGCGAGCACCGAGGTGAACTCAGGTGGCTCAGGAGAACAAGAGTGCCCAGAAAGCGAGCTGGGGAGGGAGGAGGCGCCCTGCCATGGCCTCAGACCCTGTTAATAAGGGGACTGGAGTCTCAAAGGCCACAGGGTAGGGGCTGGAATGGAGAGACATGGGGGACCTTTGAGTTTGTGGAAGGGGACAAGGCTCCTGCCTTGCCATGCAGACCAGAGGTGATGGTGGCCTGAGTTAGTGCAGAAGCAAGTGAGGACAGGGAGAAGTAGGGGAGAGTCCAGTGACATGGAGGTGGGAGAATTCACATGACCCGATGGGGAGGGGACTCATGGTTGCCAGCAGCTGAGTGGTTGAGGGAACCCTTCTGAGACAGCTGACCTAGGGCTGACGGCTGAAACATCGTCTGGGTTTAGGAGCTGGGTTTATGCGGGCCGATCGCCTGAGGTCAGGAGTTGGAGACCAGCCTGGCCAACACGGTGAAACCCCGTCTCCTAAAAAATATATACAAAAATTAGCTGGGCATAGTGGTGGGCACCTGTAATCCCAGCTACTTGGGAGGCTGAGGCAGGAGAATTGCTTGAACTCGGGAGATGGAGGTTGCAGTGAGCCGAGATCGCGCCATTGCAATCCAGCCTGGATGACGAGCGAAACTCCATCTCAAAAAGAAAAAGCTATTATAGGCCAGGCGTGGTAACTCAACCCAGTAATCTCAACATTTTGGGAGGCTGAGGCCAGCAGATTACGTGAGACTAGGAGTTCTGAGACCGGTCTGACCAACATGGTGAAACCCTGTCTCTACTAAAAATACAAAAATTAGCCAGGCTTACTGGCCTGTGCCTGTAATCCCAGTTACTTGGGAGGCTGAGGCATGAGAATTGCTTGAACTCAGGAGGTGGAGGTTACAGTGAGCCGAGATGGCACCACTGCACTCCAGCCTGGGCAACAGAGCGAGACTGTCTCACAAAATGAGAGAGAGAGAGAGGAAAAAAAAAAAAGGAATAAAATGGAAGGAAGGAAGGGAGGGAGGGGGGAGGGAGGAAGGAAGTGAGGGACAGAGGGAAGGAGGAGAAAGGGAGGGAAGGAAGGAAAGGAATGAAGGGAGGGGGGAGGAAGGGAGAAAGAGAAAAAGAGGAAGGGAGGGAAAGAAAAGCAAGCAAGCTATTCTGTTTGGTTAGGAAACCAGCTCTGAAAAGCACTGGCAATTATGACTTGCATTTTGCTTCTGTCTGGGCATGCTGGATAAATGTGCCTGGGGGGTGGCGGCATCAGTAACAGGCACAGGAAGCTTTCTCAGGGATGAGTGAAGTTGCTGCAAGAGTGAGAATTCAACAAAGGACTCCTTTGCTGAAAGCACTTTCATCTGTGATGCAAACTACTGCCGTTTACAAAGTGTTTTCTTCCTGGGGTTTTTTTTTTTTTTTTTTTTTTTTTTTTTTGAGACAGAGTCTTGCTCTCTGACCCAGACTGGAGTACAATGGCATGATCTTGGCTCACTGCAACCTCCGCCTCCCAAGTTCAAGCGATTCTTCTGCCTCAGCCTCCCCAGTAGCTGGGACTACAGGCATGCACTACCACACCTGGCTAATTTTTGTATTTTTAGTAGAGATGGAGTTTCACCAGTTGACCTGGCTGGTCTTGAACTCCTGGCCTCAGATGATCGGCCTTCCAAAGTGCTGGGATTACAGGCGTGAGCCATCGAGATACATTTTACCAAGAACTCCACGTTGGAAAGCCATAGCATGATTGCTTTTTGAGGACTTTGCCCCCTGAAATTCAAATGATCCCTTACCCATAGCCATTGATGGGGGTGGCGGGAGGAGGGCCAGTAAGGAACCCTGGGCTTTTCTTATGCCCATGTTAGAGCCTAACCTGCCTTTTAGGTCAGTAACCTGGAGGGGGGAAACCTGGTTTATTAGACTAAGTGTCCTCGTGGTTTCATTCTGGCTCTCAGCAGTAGTCTGTAAAATACAACTCGAAGTGTAGATGGATTTAACCTGGCGTCCATAACATCTACTCTTCCAATTGTCATAAAATGTGGGCTGGCTGACATGAGTGGAATTTTTCCTTCGTTTGGATAAATGTGTCACGGTCCAATGCTGTTGTGACAGATGGAAAAATCCTATGTAGGGCACGCAGCAGCCTACCCGGCACGGAGGAAGGACTCCAAGGGACCGTCTGGCACCGCCGGGCTGATAGGAACCCATCTTGTCTGTCTGTGAATTATTCATGTGCTGCACTTCCTGAAAAGAACGCTCCTGTTTGACTACCTCACTCGTAAAACCGCAGAGAGTTCACCAGGAAGGGTGAGAGGCTCCCTGCAGTAGAGAGTGGAAGGGGCCAGGCAGGGCACAGCAGAAACGCTTTGCTGCTGTCTGCGAACAGCCTGAGGACAGCCTGCTGCACTGGGGTTGGGACCCCAGGGGTCTTGCTGGGCCTGTGAGTGGCAGTGCGCTCTGGGTGGCAACCCCCAATTAGCTCAGTGCAAGCTCTTCGTGGTGCCATCCAACACCCTGGGCAGGGGCCAGGCAAGGTGGCTTATGCCTCTGTGCCCAGCACTTTGGGAGGCTGAGGTGGGAGGATCACTTGAGCCCAGGAGTTCGAGACCAGCAGAGGCAACATAGTGAGATCCCGTCTCTATTTTTCAAAAAAATTTTAAAATCAGCTGGACGTTGTGGCACATACCTGTAATCCCAGTGCTTTGAGAGGCTGAGAGAATCACTTGAGGCCAGTTTAAGACCAGTCTAGCCAACACAGGGAGACCTATCCCTAAAAAATAATTTTTTTTTTTTTTTTTGGCCGGGCACGGTGACTCACACCTGTCATCCCAGCACTTTGGGAGGCCGAGGCCAGCGGATCACCTGAGGTCAGGAGTTCAAGACCAGCCCAGCCAACATGGTGAAACCCCATCTCTACTGAACATACAAAAAAGTAGCCAGGCTACTGGTCCGCAACTGTAGCTCAGGAAGCTGAGAGAGGAGAATCGTTTCAACCCCGGGGGCGGATGTTGCAGTGAGCGGAGATGGCACCACTGCACTCCAGCCTGGGCGACATGGCAAAACTCCCTCTCAAAAAACAAAAACAAAAATTTTTTAATTACCACGGTGTGGTGGCTCCTGCCTGTAGCCTCAGCACTTTGGGTGACTGAGGCGGGAGGATCACTTGAGCCCAGGAATTCGAGGCTGCAATGAACCATGATCGCACCACTGCAGTCCAGCCTGGGTGACACAGCCAGACCCTGTCTCAAAAAAAAAAAAAAAAAAAAGAAAAAAAAAATCCTGTGAAAACTCGGGCGTGGCCAGACGGATTCTCCCCTCCCCACCTTCTTTTCCCCTCCACTGCCCACCTGGCACCCCCCCGCCCTGTCCCCACTCCCCACCCCTCCATGCAGCCAGCGTCCAATGCTAGGCACCCCCCGAGGCTCCCCCTGCCAAGCCCGGGGCTTCCCTTTTGCGCCCGGACCCAGGGGCAGGGAAAGCCCAGCTCGTGGTCTGTGGGTAGCCGGATCTCCGATGGGGCGGGGGCCTCGCCTTGACTCCGAGAGCTGGGGCGGGGGACGGGAGCTGGGGCAGGAGGGATGCGCGCGGGTCAGGGCCTTCCCACCTCCCCGGCTCCTCTCCAGCGCGCGATCCCGGGGTGGTTCCAGGTAAGGCAGGGACCCCCACCCCGCCACTCCGAGGAGGTGCCGCCAGCCCCGCCCCTCCCTGCCCGGCGGGTGACGTGGCCGCGGCTCCCCCGCGGGCAGGTCACGTGGCGGCGGCGCCCGGTTGCCTTGGCAGCGGCTGCGGCGACCGCGGGGGCGGGGCGGAGGCGGGGCCGGGGGACCCCGCGCGACCGGCGGAAGGAGGGAGGGGGCCGCGCTCGGCTCCCCGGCCGGGCCACTGGGCCACAGGCCACGCGGCCACGCAGCCCGAGCGGGAGCTGAGCCGGGCGGGGAGAGGGCAGCTCCGGTGAGTGTGGCGGCGTGGGGCTGGCGCCGGGAGCGGGGTCCCTGCGGCTGGGGGGGCCGAAATTGGACCGGGGACGCTTGGCGGGGAAGGGGACGACTGTAGGCTGCCGGGGCGCGGTCACCACCCATCCGGGGTTGGTGACCTCCACCCCGCGGGATCCCTGGCGGGGTGCGGCGCCCAGCGGATCCGGGTCGAGGGCGCAGCCGGGTCCGGACACCGGGGTGTCCCTGGGGGAGGGACAGGGATGCAGGCGGGCGTCCCTGGGAGGCCCCCTCCCAATGCGCCTGCCGGAGAGAGACACTCGCCATTGCCGGTGCCCCAGATGCTTAGAGGAAGTCAAACTCCAAGACCGCCCTCTGGAAATGTGTCCAACAGGCCAGCCAGGAAGAATCGCTCATCTTTAGAGAGGGGATCGCGTTATTCTCCAAGACCTGTTTTCTCTGACTGCTCGTTGAAGCAAAAAAAAAGCAACCCCACAAGGTTCAGTCCCTGAGCATCCTCTAGGGGCTGTGCCACCTGACAGAAGTGCAGGGCTCCATCCTGCCCCACCCCACCCCCTGCCTGGGATCCAGTGTGGGGCCCAGACTCTGTCCCTCCCCCCCAGGTCACTGGGCCTGGCACACACAGGTGGCACTGGAAACATAGAGGATGAATAGGAATCCCCTCCTGGGCTACTCCTTCCAGACCTGCAGACCTGTCTCAAGACCCACCTCCAGACATCCTTTCCTCCACACCCCCACCCACTCGGGGGGCATCTGCAGGGCCTCACCAATGGGGCATGAGAGGGCTGGCAGCTCCCAGGAAGCCACCCTCAGCCCTCACTGCCCTGAGCTCTTCACCTCCACTCTCAGACCTGAGCCCAGCCCACCCCTACTAATGGAGCGTCCCTCTTGTTCACCCTTCCTTCCTCTGGAGGCCACCAGGCTCTCCCTTGCCTCCCACTCCTCCCAGTTGGCCAGCCATTTCCCTGGGTTGAACTGTGGTCCCAAACCAGAATGATCTAGCAGTGCCCAGACCGTTCCACTCACCGATTCCTTCCATTCTCCCGTGGCTGGACGCCCAGTCATGCTGCCCAGACCCTCTGGCTCATTCCACAGCCCCAGGCTCCAAGTGTCTTCCACCCACATCTCCCTGCCCCCTCCAGCCCCCAGGTGGCAGCTACCTTCCCTGCTTATCTCCTGGACAAGGGGAGCCACCCCACACGTACACCTGGAGTGGCCTTCCGGTCTCTCAGAATCTTTCCATTCGGGCAGCGTCTTGTCTTTGAGGAACGGTCCCTCTTTTTTGAAATTCTTTTTAGAGGCCATATGCAGTGGTTCACGCCTGTAATCTTAGCACTTTGGGAGGCCAAGGTGGGCAGATCCCTTGAGCTCAGGAGTTCTAGACCAGCCTGGCCAACGTGGCAAAACCCTGTCTCTACCGAAAATAAAAAATTAACCAGGCGTGGTGGCACACACCTGTAGTCCCAGTTACTCGGGAGGTTGAGGAGGGAGGATCACTTGAGCCCAGGAGGCAGAGTTTGCAGGGAGCTGAGATCGTGCCACTGCACTCCAGCCTTGGCAACACAGCAGGACCCCATCTCAAAAAAAAATTATTTTTAGAGACAGCTTCTTACTATGTTGCCTAGGCTGGTCTCCAGCTCCTGTCCTCAAGTGATCCTCCCACCTTGGCCTTACAAAACACTGGGATTACAGGTGTGAGGCACTTTGGCCTGCAAAGGGCTGCTGTGTCCCCTCCGCGGTGTTATCTGCAGGCACCTTTTCCTGGCCTTGGTGTGAGGCAGCCAGTCCTCTGCTCCCTGCCCTCTACTGAAGCCTTTAGCTCAGTGGATGAGGATTGCCCCCACTTTTTTTTTTTTTTTTTTTTTTTGAGATGGAGTCTTGCTCTGTCGCCCAGGCTGGAGTGCAGTGGCGTGCTCTCACCTCACTGCAACCTCTGTCACCACACCCGGCTATTTTTTTTTTTTCTTTCTTTTTTTAAGACACAGTCTCACTCTGTCACCCAGGCTGGAGTGCCGTGGTGCAATCTCAGCTCACTCCAACCTCTGCCTCCTGGACTCAAGTGATTCTCCTGCCTCAGCCTCCTGAGTAGCTGGGACTACAGGTGCATGCCACCACACCTGGCCAATTTTTGTATTTTTAGTGGAGATGGGGTTTCACCATGTTGGCCAGGCAGGTCTTGAACTCCTGAGTTCTAGTGATCCACCTGCCTTAGCCTCCCAAAGTGCTGGGATTACAGGCATGAGCCACTGCGCCTGACTTTTTAAAAATTTTATTTATTTATTTTTTTGGAGACGGAGTCTCGCTTTGTGGCCCAGGCTAGAGTGCAGTGCTGCAATCTCAGCTCACTGCAACCTTCACCTCCCTGGCTCAAGTGATTCTCCTGCCTCAGCCTCCTGAGTAGCTGGGATTACAGGCGCCCACCACCATGCCCAGTTAATTTTTTGTTTTTTAGTAGAAACAGCGTTCCACCATGTTGTCCAGTTGTTTTTAGCAGAAACAGCTCCACCATGGGCATGTCCAGGCTTGGTCTCAACTCTGACCCCAGTGATCCGCCCACCTCAGCCTCCCAAAGTTCTGGGAGGACAGGCTTCAACCACGGCTCCCGACCCACATCCCCTTATCTTGTTCTCTACTGGGAGGTCATGAATTTGGCTCTTTCATCTTGGATCTCAGTTACCCAGTGTAAATGAGCACTCAGTGATGGAGGAGGGAGATGAGGAGCAAGAAGCAGTTGGCCTCACCCTGCAGTCTCCGTGATACTGTGGTCATCAGACCTGCACGCCCACCTCTAATTCAGGGTAGAGGGGTGAGGGAAGAGCAAAAATGCAGTTTCCAAATTATAGCATTTTCCATTATGTGGAGCTAATCTATGGATTGCAGTGTTTCTCTGAGTTCTCCCCAAGGGAAGGTACACCCGGGGATGGAAGTGCTTGGACGCGGTGCTGCTGGCTGCGGATGTGCATGAGGAGATGGGACGGAGAGCCCAAGTTGGCATTCGTATAAATGACCTGGTAATTGGCATCCCCTGGCAGAAATAGCACAGAACTGTTCCCAGAGGGCCTGTTGGCCAGGGAAGGCTGTGGCTTTGCAGCCTTGTTGAGAACAAAGGGAAAGGCGACATGGTTTTCCACCTCCAGCACCTTCCTGCGTAGTTTCCAAATTAGGGCATTTTCAATTATGGGGGCTGGACTCTGGCATGGATGGACTAAGTTTGGGGCATTTCCTCAGCTGCTGACCCTGTTAAGCACCCCCCACTCCACCCATCCACCCCAGCCACACTCCCTGGGACCTAGAACACGGATCTGTGTGTAACAGCCTGAAGCAGACTTTCCATGGGGCCCATGTGGGCCTGGACATAGAAGTTACTCTCTTCCCTTTCCTTCCTTTCCCTTTCCTTCCCTTCCCTTTTCTTCCCTTTCCTTCCCTTTTTCCTTTATACTCCTTTCCTTTCCTTCCCTTTCCTTTTTCCTTCCCTTCCCTTTCTTCCTTTCCTTCCCTTTTCCTTTCCTTTCCTTCCCTTCCCTTTCCTTTCCCCTTCCCTTTCCTTCCCTTCCCTTTCCTTTTCCTTTCCTTTCCTTTTTTCAGCCCCCTTTCCTTCCCTTCCCTTTTCTTCCCTTTCCTTCCCTTTTTCCTTTCCTTTCCTTCCCTTCCCTTTCCTTTCCTTCCCTTTCCTTCCCTTCCCTTTCCTTTTTCCTTTCCTTTCCTTTTTCCTTCCCTTTCCTTTCCTTCCCTTCCCTTTCCTTTCCTTTTTCCTTTCCTTTCCTTTCCTTTCCTCTTTCTTTTCCTCTTTGCTTTCTTCTTTCCCTTCCTCTTTCCTTTCCTTTCCTCTTTCCTTTCTTCTTTCCTTTCCTCTTTCCTTTCCTTTCCCCTTTCCTTTCCTCTCCCCTCCCCTCCCCTCCCCTCCCCTCTCCTCTCCTCTCCTCTCCTCTCCCCTCCTCTCCTCTCCTCTCCTTTCTTGAGACAGAGTTCTGCTCTGTCACTCAGGCTGGAGTGCAGTGGCACAGTCTTGGCTCACTGTAACCTCCGCCTCCTGGGTTCAAGTGATTCTCCTGCCTCTGCCTCAGCCTCCCCAGTCACTGGAATTACAGGCACCCACCCCCACGCCCGGCTAATTTTTGTATTTTTAGTGGAAACAGGGTTTCACCATGTTGGCCAGGCTGGAAAAGTCACTCTTTTTGATGCCAAGTAAACCACAAGGTGCCTGTGCCCTTGAAGCATGCCCTGCAGATTAATTAGAACTGGATCCTGGCGTGCAGCCGAGCAGCCCAGCTCCTTGGGACACACGCGACCGCCAATCCCCTACTTAGTGGAGATTTAGGTTTAAATTCACAAATCTTGACAGATCCGTCCTTCTGATGTTTAATCCATGTTAGTCAAACCAGATGTCTACCAGGTATGAGTCCAGGCATCTCCGCCGTCTGTTTCTCCTTAAAATGTGGTCATGTGAGTTGGTGGATTTCATTTTTCATCTTGCTAAAAGTTTGCCTTGTAGCTTGGATGTGGCTTTAGTTTTGTAAGTCCAGTATTTTTCTTAGGGTGAACTGTAATGATCAAAATTTAAGTTGAAGGCTGGGCGCGGTGGCTCACACCTGTAATCTCATCATCTTGGGAGGCTGAGGCAGTTGCATCACCTGAGGTCAGGAGTTCGAGACTAGCTTGTCCAACATGGTGAAACTCCATCTCTACTAAGAATACAAAAATTAGCCAGGTCTGGTGGCGGGTGCCTGTAGTCCCAGGTTCTTGGGAGGCTGAGGCAGGATAATCGCTTGAATCTGGGAGTCGGAGGTTGCAGTGAGCAGAGATTGCACCACTGCACTCCAGCCTGGGTGACTCAGCGAGACTGTCTCAAAAAAAATATGTAAAATAAAATAAATTAAAAGTCCTATAGGTGGAAATATCCCCATTTTCAAGATGAAAGAGCCAACTCAGAGAGGTCAGCTGTCATGCTCAGAATCACACAGTAGGGTCAAATCCAGGTTTCAGAACTTTAGGTCCTGGAGGCTGGGCGCAGTGGCTCATACCTGTAATCCCAGCACTTTGGGAGGCTGAGGCAGGCAGATCACTTGAGGTCAAGAGTTCAAGACCAGCCTGGCCAACATGATGAAACCCCGTCTGTATTAAAAATACAAAAATTAGCTGGGCGTGGTGGTGCACACCTATAATCCCAGCTACTCAGGAGACTGAGCAGAAGAATTACTTGAACCTGGGAGCCAGAGTTTCCAGTGAGGTGAGATTGCCCCACTGCACTGCAGCCTGGGCGACAGAGCGAGACACTGTCTCAAAAGCAGACAAACAAACCATCATAACTTTAGGTCCTGGGCACTTTCTAAACCCCTGGGCAGCCCCTGTAGGTTGAATGGGCTTAGAGTCTAGCTCTTCCAGGCCGCAGTAACCTAGGGTACCTGAGCATATCTCTCTCCCACGTTCAGCCTGGCTCCCACCATGAGCGCTGAGCTCAATGTGCCTGTCGACCCCTCTACTCCTGCCTGCCCGGAGCCCGGCCACAAGGGCATGGATTACCGGGACTGGGTCCGCCGCAGCTACCTGGAACTGGTCACCTCCAACCACCACTCGGTACAGGCCCTGTCGTGGCGGAAGCTCTACCTGAGCAGGGCCAAGCTGAAGGCCTCCAGCAGGACCTCTGCCCTCCTCTCCGGCTTTGCCATGGTGAGTGTGCGTGCCAGGTGAGGAGCTCGCTGGTCAGATGGGCTTTGCTAACTGAGGTCCTGGGATGCCTCAGGGACCAAAGCGTTCCCACCAGCTGGGACTTGGGCGACTCTGTCAATGTGAGTGGGGGTGCTGGGTGTATGCCGGGGGCTCCCAGCTTAGAATCTTCAGAAAACCCACTCTGTCCTGTTCACATCAAGTGCTTGCTCAGGAAGGAGGGAGGTTGGTGCAGGGTAATTATAGTAGCTCAGGTGCAGTGACTCACACCTGTAATCCCAGCACTTTGGGAGGCCAAGGCGGGAGAATAGCTTGAGGCCAGGAGTTTGAGACCAGCCTGGGCAACACAGCAAGACCCCTGTCTTTACAAAAATAAAATAAATAATTAGCCGGACGTGGTGGCACGCACCTATAGCCCCAGCTATTTGGGAGGCTGAGGCGGGAGGATCACTTGAGCCCAGGAGGCCAAGGCCTCAATGCGTTATGATCACCTGACTTCACTCCAGCCTGGATGTCAGAGTAAGACCCCATCTCCAAAAAGAAAAAATAAAATTTATTTATTTATTTATTTGGGCTGGGCGCAGTGGCTCATGCCTGTAATCCCAACACTTTGGGAGGCCGAGGTGGGTGGATCACTTGAGATCAGGAGTTCAAGACCAGCCTGGCCAACACAGTGAAACACCGTCTCTACTAAAAGTACAAAAAAAATGAGCTGGGTATGGTGGCAGGTGCCTGTAATCCCAGCTACTTGGGAGACTGAGACAAAAGAATCGCTTGAACCTGGGAGGCCAGAGGATGCAGTGAGCCAAGGTCACACCACTATACTCCAGCCTGGTCAAGAGTGAGACTTTGTCTCAAAATAAATAGATTAATTAATTAATTAAAAAGATAAAATCAAATCAAATCGCTGCATGGTACAGGGTTTCCTGGAGAAAAGTGCCCATGTCTGCCCCGTCTCGGGCACCACCCAAACGTTTGGAGCTCTCAGGGATCTCTGAGCAGGCCCCAGGGATTGATTGGGGTTGGATCAGTTTATCCCAGTTAGCGATGCAGAAGTTCCTGGAATGTGAACTCCAGGGTGACAAAGCAGAGCTTTTGGCCTGGCTCCCGGTGGCCGCCTTCCCTCTGAGTCATCCCCTAGGACAAGAGTCAGTTTCGGACAAAGCTGTGGCTCTGACAAGGGGCCCATCTCCTGTTGACTCCAAAGTCGCTGACCCACACCCCTGGAGGGAATTGTCCCAGAGGTTAAGGACTCACAGTGAGGACAACAGTGTGCTTAAAGGTCCTATTGGGCGGAAGTGATTTTTTTGTTGTTGTTTTGTTTTTAGAGACAGGGTCCCTGTCTGTTGCCCAGGCTGGAGAGGGCAGTGGTGTGATCACGGCTCACTGCAGCCTCTACTTCCTGGGCTCAAGCCATCCTCCTGTCTCAGCCTCCTGAGTAGCTGGAATTATAGGCACGTGCCACCATGCCTAGCTAATGTTTTTTTTTTTTCCTTTTTCTTTTTTAGAGACAAGTTCTCTGCTCTGTTGCCTAGGCTGGAGTGTGCAGGAGTGCAATCATGGCTCACTGCAGTCTTGAACTCTCAGGTGATTTTCCCACCTCGGCCTCCCAAAGTGCTAGCATTACACCTTGTCCAGCCTGTTTCCTTATGTGAAAACAATTATTGTTTTTCTTTTTGTTTTTGTTTTGAGATGGATTCTTGCTCTGTCACCCAGGCTGGAGTGCAGTGGTATGATTTCAGCTCACTGCAACCTCCACCTCCTGGATTCAAGTGATTCTCCTGCCTCAGCCTCTCAAGTAGCTGGGACTACAAGCACACAAACCACACCCGGCTAATTTTTGTAGTGTTAGTAGGGACAGAGTTTCACCATGTTGGCCAGGCTGGTCTCGAACTCCTAACCTCAGGTGATCCGCCCACCTCGGCCTCCCAAAGTGCTGGTATTACAGGTGTGAGCCACCACACCCGGCCTCTATTGTTTTTCTATAGGCCAGAGGCTCAATTGTTAGACTGATGGTACAATTTAAAAGAAAAAGCTGACTGGGCACGGTGGCTCATGCCTGTAATGCCAGCGCTTTGGGAGGCTGAGGCGGGCAGATCACCTGAAGTCAGGAGTTCGAGACCAGCCTAGCCAATATGGTGGAACCGTGTCTCTACTAAACATACAAAAATTAGCCGGGCTTGGTGGCACTTGCCTGTAATCCCAGCTACTCAAGAGGCTGAGGCAGGAAGATCACTTGAACCTGGGAGGTGGAGGTTGCAGTGAGCCAAGATGGCGCCATCGCAGTCCAGCTTGGGTGACAGAGCGAGACTCCATCTCAAAAAAAAAAAGAGGTGGAGGCTGGGTTCCGTGGCTCACGCCTGTAATCCCAGCACTTTGCGAGGCCGAGGCGGGTGGATCATGAGGTCAGGTGTTCAAGACCAGCCTGGCCAAGATGGTGAAACCCCGTCTCTACTAAAAATACAAAAATTAGACAGACGTGGTGGCAGGTGCCCGTAATCCTGGCTACTCTGGAGGCTGAGACGGAGAATTGCTTGAACTCGAGAGGGGAGGTTGCACTGAGCTGAGATGGCGCCACTGCACTCCAGCCTGGGTGACAGAGCAAGACTGCATTGCAAAAAAAAAAAAAAAAAAAAAAAGGTGGGTCTTGCTGTGTTGCCCAGGCTGGTTTTTTTTTTTTTTAGTTGTTATTTTTTTCTTCACCTTATGCCAAGAGGAAAATATTGTTGTTTCATTTTGTTTTTTCCCCCAAGTATTTTTGATCCGCGGTGGGTTGAATCTGCAGATGTGGAACTCGGAGATACAGAGCACCAGCTGCCGTGGGAAGCAAATGAACCGTCTGGCGTAGAGCTGAGACCCGGGGGGAGCCGCAGTGCACCTGCTTGATTAGATTAGCACAGCGTCATTAGGTCAGATCATTCTTCAGACTGCAGGGCAGCTTGGGAAAAATAAGTGACAAGTACAAATCATCAGAAACTGTAGCTGAGTCGGGGCAGGGCCCTGGGAACAGGCAAAGGTGCAGATTGCTAGGAAGAGTTCGCCCTTTGTCGTGTGTCTTCCCTCATTAGAATTGCAAAGCTGTTCCTTTGTCTAGCAACGCGTGCTTATGCCTAACCTGAAGCTTATTTCTTGATGCTTATTCTTCCCCCAACACGGAGAACCAGTGATCCGAGGCCCCCCTCATAAAACCTCTACATAGGCCAGGCGTGGTGGTTCACTGTAATCCCAGCACTTCGGGAGACTGAGGCGGGCGGATCACTTGAGGTCAGGAGTTCCAGATCAGCCTGGCCAACATGGGGAAACCCAGTCTCTACTAAAAATATGAAAAGGAGGGCCGGGCACCATGGCTTATGCCTGTTATCCCAGCATTTTGGGAGACCGAGGTGAGCAGATCACTTGAGGTCAGGAGTTGGAGACCAGCCTGGCCGACGTGGTGAAACACTGTCTCTACTGAAAATACAAAACTTAGGCCGGGTGCAGTGGTTCACACCTGTAATCCGAGCATTTTGGGAGACTGAGGCGGGCAGATCACGAGGTCAGGAGATGGAGACCATCCTGGCGAACACAGTGAAACCCCGTCTCTACTAAAAAAATACAAAAAACTAGCTGGGCGAGGTGGCAGGCGCCTGTAGTCCCAGCTACTCGGGAAGCTGAGGCAGGAGAATGGCATAAACCTGGGAGCGGAGCTTGCAGTGAGCTGAGATCCGGCCACTGCACTCTAGCCTGGGCAACAGAGTGAGACTCCGTCTCAAAACAAACAAACAAACAAACAAAAATGTAATTTAAATTAAAAAGAATTCTGTATAAACACAGTAAAAAATTGCCTTCTCTTTTCTTCTTCTTCTTCTTTTTTTTTTTTCTAATAGAGATGGGGGGTCTCACTTTGTTGCCCGGGCTGGTCTTGAACTGCTGGTTTTAAGTGATCTCCCGCCTTAGCCTTCCAAAGTGCTGGGATCACAGGTGTGAGGCATCTCACTCAGCCCCTTTTCTCCTGTTAAGGCGGAACAAACCACTTTTTGCGAGCCCTGCCCGCTACCTCGTAATCATCTTTATTTCCTGTCTTGGAGGCCTCTGTGGTTTGTAATATTTGTCACTTGGGCCATATCCTTTGAGGTGACCATAGCCAACCCAGGGCCACACTGAGAAAAACCATCCCTCAGCCCATGTTCTGTGGCTACTGGTTTTTGGATACGTTTCACAATAGCCCCAGCCTTATTATTGGTGAACTGCTGTTCAGCTCTGGTCTACTAGGACTGCCATGTCTTCTTCTTTTTTTTTTTTTTTTTGAGATATAGTCTCGCTCTGTCGCCCAGGCTGGAGTGCAGTGGTGCGATCTGGCTCACTGCAACCTTCGCCTCCCAGGTTTAAGAGATTCTCCTGCCTCAACCTCCCGAGTACAGGCACCCACCACCATGCTCGGCTAATTTTTGTATTTTTAGTAGAGATGGGGTTTTGCCACGTTGGTCAGACTGGTCTCGAGCTCCTGACCTCAAGTGATCTGCCCACCTCAGCTTCCCAAAGGGCTGGGATTACAGGCATGAGCCACCGCGCCCGGCCATATTTTCTTTTATCTAGGAAGCGTTCCATCACCACTAAGAGGTGGTAGTTGCTGAAGGACATTATTAAATCTTCATATATATTATTTTATTTTATTTTTTACTTTATTCGTTCCCAGACAGGATATCGCTCTATTGCCCAGGCTGGGGTGCAGCGGTGCGTTCATAGCTCACTGCAGCCTCCAACTCTGGGGCCCAGCCTCCTGAGTTATTTTTTATTTTATTTTATTTTATTTTATTTTTTTTTGTGGCAGAGTCTCACTCTGTCACCCAGGCTGGAGTGCAGTGGCATGATCTCAGCTCACTGAAACCTCTGCCTCCCGGATTCAAGCGATTCTCCTGCCTCAGCCTCCCGAGTAGCTGGGATTACAGGCACAAGCCACCATGCCTGGTTCATTTTTGTATTTTTCACAGAGAAAAAGTTTTTGCCATGTTGGCCAGGCTGCTCTCAAACTCCTGACCTCAAGTGATCCGTACCCCCTTGGCTTTCTAAAGTGCTGGAATTACAGGCATGAGCCACCGCACCTGGCCTGAGTTTTTTTGTTTTTTTTTTTTTTGTTTTTTTTTTTAACAGGGATGGCTTAGGTCTAGGAGAGAAACACAGTGGTAGAAGAATCTTCCCCTGGCTTCTTTCTTCTTTTTTTTTTGAAACAGAGTCCTGCTCTGTCACCTAGGCTGGAGTACAGTGGCATGATCTCCGCTCACTGCAACCTCTGCCTCCTGGGTTCAAGCGATTCTCCTGCCTCAGCCTCCTGAGTAGCTGGGATTACAGGCACCTGCCACCAGGACCAGCTAATTTTTTGTGTTTTTAGTAGAGACGGGGTTTCACCATGTGGGCCAGGCTGGTCTTGAGCTCCTGACCTCGTGATCCACTCGCCTCGCCCTCCCAAAGTGCTGGGATTGCAGGCGTGAGCCACCGCGCCTGGCTGACCTCACATTTCAAGACACCAAGCAGAGCCTGCCGTTCCTTGGTTTGTCCGTTTTAGACCATACCTGCTGTAACCTCTGACTGTGATTGATGATTTTGCTTCCTCAGGAGACCCAGCCATGCCTCCTTTCCTCCTCACCCTCGGCCTCACTTCCGTCACTTTTCCTGGGCTTTAGAGATGCTGGCTCTCGCTGGGCTTTTGGCCTCTGCTGAGGAGGCACCACGTGGTCTGTCTGAGGCCGTCCAGGTGTGCAGCTCTGAGTCTGGGGTCGGCAGTTTTAGTTGTTATGTTTTAAAAGGTCAGGTTTTTTTTTTTTTTGTCAAGATGGGCTCTCACTATGTTGCCCAGGCTAGTCTGAAACTCCTGGGTTCAAGCGATCCTCCTGCCTCTGCCTCCCAAAGGAAGGAGTATAGGCATAAGTCATCGCGCCTGGCCAATTTTTACCTTTGAAAGGTCAGTTTCCTTTTTGTGTAGAGATGAAGTCTCGCTCTGTCACATGGGCTGAAGTGCAGTGGTGTGATCATAGCTCATTGCAGCCTGGATCTCCCGGATTCAAGCGATCCTCCCACCTCAGTCCCCAGTAGCTGGGACTACAGGCGTGTGCCACCAAGCCCGGCTAATGTTGTATATTTTTTGTAGAGACAGGGTCTCCCTCTGTCCCCCAGGCTGGAGTGCAGTGGTGTGATCGGGGCTCACAGCAGCCTGGAATTCCTGGCCTCAAGTGATCCTCCTGCCTCAACCTTCCAAACCACTGGGATTACAGGCATGAACCATTGTACTCGGCCAGTTTTTCCCTCCCTCCCTCCTCCCTTCCTTCCTTCCTTCCTTCCTCCCTCTCTATCTTTCTTTCTTTTTCCTTTCTTTTTTAAACTTTTGTGGCTTGTTTTGTTTTGAGACAGAGTCTCATTTTGTCGCCCAGGCTGGAGTGCAGTGGCACGATCTTGGCACACTGCAACTTCCGCCTCCCAGGTTCAAGCGATTCTCCTGCCTCAGCCTCCCGAGTAGCTGGGATTACAGGCGCCCGCCACCATGCCCAGCTACTTTTTGTATTTTTAGTAGAGACGGGGGTTCACCATGTTGACCAGGCTGGTCTCCAACTCCTAGCCTCGAGTGATCCACCAGCCTTGGCCTCCCAAAGTGCTGGGATTACAGGCGTGAGCCACACACCGGCCTCTTCTGTACTGTTGAGATTTTTTTTCTCAGTGCAGTCTTCTTTAGCTAATTAGAACAAAGGAAAATGTGAAACATTTGATCAGTGAGGAGGTTGCCCTCTGGTCTTCAAGGGCCCAGAACGTGGGTGAGTCCCGCCAGCAGGAGAGCCCGTGGCTACCCTGTCCCCTGAACCTGGCCCAGCCCCTGCTCTGCCTGGCAGGTGGCCCTGGTGGGGCCACGCCTTGCCCTCCCCACACCCAGCACCACCTGTCTGCTGTCCCCACAGGTGGCCATGGTGGAGGTGCAGCTGGAGACACAGTACCAGTACCCTCGGCCGCTGCTGATTGCCTTCAGCGCCTGCACCACGGTGCTGGTGGCCGTGCACCTGTTCGCCCTCCTCATCAGCACCTGCATCCTGCCCAACGTGGAGGCCGTGAGCAACATCCACAACCTGAACTCCATCAGCGAGTCTCCGCACGAGCGCATGCACCCCTACATCGAGCTGGCCTGGGGCTTCTCCACCGTGCTAGGCATCCTGCTTTTCCTGGCCGAGGTGGTGCTGCTCTGCTGGATCAAGTTCCTCCCCGTGGACGCCCGGCGCCAGCCTGGCCCCCCGCCCGGCCCCGGGAGCCACACGGGCTGGCAGGCCGCGCTGGTGTCCACCATCATCATGGTGCCCGTGGGCCTCATCTTCGTGGTCTTCACCATCCACTTCTACCGCTCTCTGGTGCGCCACAAAACGGAGCGCCACAACCGCGAGATCGAGGAGCTCCACAAGCTCAAGGTCCAGCTGGACGGGCATGAGCGCAGCCTGCAGGTCGTGTGAGGGGCTGAGGGCCGGGGCTGGGGGCGGCCCTGTACCCGGGAGCCCGCAGAGGCGGGGCTTTGTCAGATGCAGACATTTTGCAAGGCTGCCGGGTAGTTCCAGACCAAAGTTTTCCTCTTGTCTTAATACCATAAGCACTGGATGACTTCTCCTGAGATGGAACCATCTGGTTCAACGAGGGACTGTGTTGCTAAGAGCATTGGGGGCAAAACCAGGCTGGTTCCTTGGCCTCAGGCTTTCCTGGGTCGGGGACACAGTGAAGAGGCTACAGCGGGATCTGCCCATCAGTCCTGGGCCAGGAGAGCCTCCAAGCAGCACCCAGTGGGTGCTCAGACCCGGCATGCGTGGCTGGCGGGCCTGGGAGAGCCAGGGCAGGCTTTTGCTTTCAGAGAACGATTGCCCCAGAGACCCGTGGTGGGCTTCGTGGATGCCGAGTGGCCCGTGTGGCAGTGATGACACGAGGGCTGCGGCATTTGAATGGGGTGCAGGTGCACGGCAGGGCTTGGTGCTTGGAGGAAGCTGGGTGGCCTGGCTTCAGGGGAAGACAGGAGCCAGGACACACGTCAGCCCAGCAGGTGTGCAGGGTGCTGCAGCTCTCGGCAGTGGTGTCAGGCCCCCAGGGATGTTTCCAACGGCGGGGGGCGGCCTGGCTGAGCCGGAGGAGACATGTTCACGGGCATCTATGAGACACCCACATGAGGAAGTTGAATTATTTGAGGACTGCTGCAAAGTACGCTAGGCTCAAATTCTCTTTTCTCAGCCAGAGAGAGCCCTGGCCACACGGACTCAGTGGGGCCACTGGGATGGGGAAAGGATCCTTCCCCGGCAGCCAGCGGCCTCCAGCTGTCAGCCACAGAATGGCCTCTGAGGCTGACTCAGCCACTCCCCTGGGCTGTGGCAGCCCGAGGGCGGGGGCTCTGGCTCAGGCCCCGGAGCCTGTGCAGCTTCCTGTGGCCCCAGGCAGCGAGTGGACATCCTGGGGGACTTCCTGTCTAGGCAAGGCCATTGGCCTGGCCTGGCCTGGCCTGTGGATAGTGGGGCCAGGGGTTGGCCCAGGCCAAATGGGTGCCCTCCTTGTTATGACTCCTACAAGGGAGGCAAGACCCCTCTAGGCCTCTCAGCTGACACTGGGTCCCACCACACACGGTGACTGCACTGTGCAGTGCGGGTTCTGGCCTTTTCCCTAAGGGCATCTGGTAGACCCAAAGCCACACTCTTGGGCTGCGCACGCACCCTGCAGCACCAGCTTCCCTGAGCTGCTTGTACAACCAACCACCTTTCCCCTCTTCTCCAGCTGTAACCTGGAGAGCCAGCCATGCCTTGTCTTTTGTTCTCATAGTCACTGGGGCTGGGCGCAGTGGCTCATGCCTGTAATCCCAGCACTTTGGGAGGCCAAGGTGGGTGGATCACCTGAGGCAGGAGTTCCAGATCAGCCTGGCCAACATGGTGAAACCCCACCTCTACTAAAAATACAAAAATTAGGCTGGGCGCGATGGCTAACGCCTGTAATCCCAGCACTTTGGGAGGCCAAGGCGGGCGGAATCACTTGAGGTCAGGAGTTCGAGACCAGCCTAGCCAACATGGTGAAACCCCGTCTCTATAAAAAAAATACAAAAAATTAGCCGGGCGTGGTGGCGGGCGCCTGTAGTCCCAGCTACTTGGGAGGCTGAGGCAGGAGAATGGCATGAACCTGGGAGGCGGAGCTTGCAGTGAGCTGAGATCACGCTACTGCACTCCAGCCTGGGCGACAGAGCGAGACTCCGTCTCCAAAAAAAAAAAAAAAAAAAAAAAAAATTAACCGGGTGTGGTGGCGGGTCTGTAGTCCCAGCTACTCCGGAGGCTGAGGCAGGAGGAGAATCGCTTGAACCCAGGAGGCAGAGGTTGCAGTGAGCCGAGATCATGCCATTGCACTACAGCCTGGGCAACAAGAGCGAAACTTCATCTACAAAAAAAAAAATAGTCACTGGGCTTCTTCATGCTGTGATCACATCTCTTGTAAAAGCTCACGCTCTCTCCGGGGTCCGGGTTGGCTGTGCCGTGGAATTCTGGGTGGCCTGGTTGGGGTCTCTGGAAATGTGGCTGCAGCAGAGAACAGAGACCCTGACACGCAATTCCCCGTGCTGAGGGGCCCTTGGGGAGTCACGCCGAGGGTCCCCACGAGAAAGTTGTGGCATCCTTGGGGGCTGGAGAAGAGCCCTGTGTCTTCTGAGGGGTTCATCCTTTGTGTCCCCTGCAGACATCTGTCTGCAACCCTTGCCCTCCAGCACGTCTGTACTTTCCTGCAGCCTGTAGAAACACCTCTTATGGTTTAATATGTGTTTGCATTGCTAAAGAGTGTCAGTGTTGGCCAGGCAAGGTGGCGCACACCTGTCATCCCAGCACTTTGGAAGGCCGAGGAGGGAGGATCACGTGGGCCTAGGGGTGCGAGACCAGCCTGGGCAACATAGCAAGACCCCATCTCTAAAAAAATTATTTTAAATTAGCCAGGCCGGGTGCAATGGCTCATGCCCGTAATCTTAGCACTTTGGGAGGCCGAGGTGGGCAGATCACTTGAGATCAGGAGTTTAAGACCAGCCTCAGCAACAACATGGTGAAACCATCTCTAGTAAAAATACAAAAAATTAACCAGGTATGGTGGCGGGTACCTGTAATCCCAGCTACTTGGCAGGCTGAGGCAAGAGAATTGCTTGAACCCAGGAGGCAGAGGTTGCAGTGAGCCGAGATCGTGCCACTGCACTCCAGCCTGGGCGATGAAGCAAAACTCTGTCTCAAAAAATAATAAATAAATTAAATAAAAATAAATTAGCTGGGCGTGGTAGTGCATGCCTGTAGTTCCAGCTACTTGGGAGGCTGAGGCAGGAGGATTGCTTGAGCTGGGGAAGTAGAGGCTGCAGTGAACTATGATTGCGCTACTGGCCGGGCACGGTGGCTCACGCCTGTAATCTTAGCACTTTGGGAAACCGAGGTGGGTGGATCACTTGAGGTCAGGAGTTTGAGACCAGCCTGGTCAACATGGTGAAACTCTGTTCCTACTAACAATACAAAAAATTAGCTGGGCATGGTGGTGCTCACCTGTAATCCCAGCTACTTGGGAGGCTGAGGCAGGAGAATCACTTGAACCCAGGAGGCAGAGGTTGTGGTGAGCCAAGATCGTGCCACTGTACTCCAGCCTGGGCGACAGAGTGAGACCCTGTCTCTGAAAAAAAAAGAAAGAAAGAAAAAGAAAAGAATGTCAGCATGTCAGTGTCCCTCCAAGGAGTGGCTTTGGGTCAAGACAGGCCGGCTCTTCTAAATGAATGGCTCCTCGTGGCTGGGAGAGGCGGCAGCCTCTTACCCTGGCCTCAGCCTTTTGGGAGGGGCCCTGCTGGGCCTTCTCCTGCCTCCCACCTTCCTGCACCATCTGTGCCCCTGCCCATGCAGTGCCACACTCCCCAGACTATGGAACGCATCTCCAGTGCCATCTGGGGGTCAGTTAGTGTACCTGGTCCCCAGGCAGAGTTCTTGACCTGGCAGCATCCAGGCAGGTATTAAGTGCCCAGTGATGGTGGCACGTGGGTGGGGACGGAGCCACATTGAAGTCTAGCTCTCTGATTAGGAGGATGACGGTGTTGGAATTTCCTGTTCTCTTTCTCCGAGAGTTCTTGTTCTCCCAGCTCCAGACTTTCTAGTTTCGAGGAATGAGGCAAACCATTGCTGTGGGAATAGCAGTGACCATGGGTAGGGCCATGGTGGCTGGGAGAGGAAACCTCAGGGTCACCCCAGAGCCTGTGGGGAGACGGAGGGCGAGCTGTTGTCGGAGCTGCAGAAACACCTTGAGGGGCAGCATGGGCGATGGGGAACGCCACTGCAGCCTAGAAATTCAGTTTCTGGAGGTTTAGCCTGTCTTTGAACAGTGTTTAAGAACAGAGGCCTCCAGGCCGGGCGTGGTGGCTCACATCTGTAATCACAGCACTTTGGGAGACAGAGGCGGGCGGATCGCCTGAGATCAGGAGTTCGAGACCAGCCTGGCCCACGTGGTGAAACCCCATCTCTACTAAAAATACAAAAATTAGCCGGGCGTGGTGACGCACCCCTGTAATCCCAGCTACCCAGGAGGCAGAGGCAGGAGAATCACTTGAGCCTGGGAGGCAGAGGATGCAGTGAGCCAAGATCACGCCACTGCACTCCAGCCTGGGTAAAGAACGAGACTCTGTTGTTTTTCTGTTTTTTTTTTTTTTTTTTTGAGACGGAATCTCTCTCTGTCGTCCAGGCTGGAGTGCAGTGGCCGGATCTCAGCTCACTGCAAGCTCCGCCTCCCGGGTTTACGCCATTCTCCTGCCTCAGCCTCCCGAGTAGCTGAGACTACAGGCGCCCGCCACCTCGCCCGGCTAGTTTTTTGTATTTTTTTTGGTAGAGATGGGGTTTCACCGTGTTAGCCAGAATGGTCTCGATCTCCTGACCTTGTGATCCACCCGTCTCGGCCTCCCAAAGTGCTGGGATTACAGGCTTGAGCCACCGCCCCCGGCCAGAGACTCTGTTAAAAAAGAAAAAAAAAGAACTGGGGCCTCTGCCTCAGTTCACCCTGGAGCCAGCCAGGGCCCGTCCTAATTTGGAGCACAGTCTTCCTGGTGCCTAGACATGCCAAGGCCCCTCCCACGTGGGATACCCTCTCCGTTTAGTACCTGACCACCTGTTTCAAAACGCAGGTGTTTCTGGTTTAGAAACTTGGAAGGCAGAATGTGTTTTCGCGTCTTCTAGGAGGGTTTGCTGAGGACCGGACCACGTAAGCCTGAGTGGATCCCGACTCAGCTGCAGCCCTTACCCGCCTCGTGCTGATGATCCATGCATGCAGCAGACACATCCACTGTCCTGTGTGCGGGTTTTTAAAACAGTTGCCCTGGATGAAACTGAATAAACCAGTGACGCTATTCAAAGTCTTTCTGTTCTTGGGGGGACGCTGTGGGCAGAGGGGATAAACTGCAGCCCCTGGCCCTCCCCTGGCATCTGCTGACTGGGGGACCCCCATCATGGCATAAAAACCTTCTCCTGTAGCGCCCTCTGGCCTCCTGTCACTGGTCACTGGCCAGTGTCCTCCCAGGCTGCCCCGGGAAGGGGGCGTGGACATCTCTAGAATGGAGGCAGGGTGCTCAGGTCCAGACACGCCGCCATGGGGCTCCAGCCAGCTGGGACCCCGAGAGCACAGGGTGCTTCTGCCTGCCGCTTCCCCTCCCAGACAGGTCCCTCTCTTTCCAGAAACAAAGGAAGGGGCAGCCCCAGAGGGTGGCTGAGTGACAACAGAGCCCACCTGGACAGGGTCGGCTTGGAGGTCCCCCCAGTCCCTTCAGGAGAGGAGCCACTGGAGCACTGGTCGCCTTGGGACATTCTCCAGCCCCAGGTCACTGTGGGGCAGCAGGAACAGGTGGGTCCCTCCTGTGGGCTGGTGGCACTACTGAGGAAGCAGCAGACTGCTTTTTTTTTTTTTTCTATTCAGAGTGGCTCTGTCACCCAAGCTGGAATGCGGTGGCATGATCTTGGCTCACTGCAACCTCCTCCCTCTGGGTTCAAGCGATCTTGTGCCTCAGCCTCCCAGGTAGGTGGGATTACAGGCACACACCACCATGCTTGGCTAATTTTTGTATTTTTAGTAGAGACGGGGTTTCACTATGTTGGCCAGGCTGGTCTCGAACTCCTGACCTTGTGATCTGCCCACCTCGGCCTCCCAAAGTGCTGGGATTAGAGGTATGAGCCACCGCG